CTCCCCACCATCACAGACATCTACACCTCCAGATGCAGGAAGAGGGCCACCTGCATCATGAAGGACCCCACCCACCCAGCACACACACTTTTTGCCCCACTCCCCTCAGGAAGGAGGTTAAGGAGCATTAAGTGTAGAACCACTAGACTGAGGAACAGCTTCTACCCTGAGGCTGTTAGACTCATGAATCTCTAACTAGAATAATCACTGTGAAAAACCATATCATGTTGTTGCTGATCTGTTTCATGTTGCTGCTGATCTGTTTCAATGTTGATGTGTTCATGCGTGCACATCTGCTCACAGACTCATGTTCATGTTTGTGCTGATGTTCAATGTTTTATGTTATGAGTGCTTAGTGTATATTTAGTTGATGTTTTTCTTAGTTCATATCTTAGATGTTGTTACTGTTTTTCTTATACATTTTATTGTTGGATGTAACTGGGACCCTGTGTACATAATTTCGCTCCACCACATGTACCACATGAGGTGCGAATGACAATAAAGAAACTCTGACTCTGACTCTGATACCCAAGTAGTACCCATCTTGATCAACATCACACCCAAGTAGTACCCATCTTGATCATCATACCCAAGTAGTACCCATCTTGATCAACATCATACCCAAGTAGTACCCATCTTGATCAACATCATACCCAAGTCGTACCCACCTTGATCAACATCATACTCAAGTAGTACCCATCTTGATCAACATCATACCCAAGTAGTACCCACCTTGATCAACATCATACTCAAGTAGTACCCATCTTGATCAACATCATACTCAAGTCGTACCCATCTTGATCAACATCATACTCAAGTAGTACCCATCTTGATCAACATCATACCCAAGTAGTACCCATCTTGATCAACATCATACCCACATAGTATCCACCTTGATCAACATTGTACCCACTTCAACCCACATTGCACTTGTTTCGATTGCTGAGTGTTCATTTGGTACCCCACTTGGCAGCTGACCAAACACTGATGTTTTATTCTACAGGAGTATTTTTTTAAATGTCTGGCTAAAAGCACCACCTGAGTCGAGTAGATCTGGATACTCTACCACATGAATAGGTAAGTGATTTTTTTTTTTATCAGAAAAACTCAGTTTATTGAACTTTGTTTTATTACTTAATACAATGTGAGATTATTTAAAAAAGATTATATAAAAAATACAAGGTGGCTATGAGCTTTCAGTTGCTCAGAATTAAAGTCAGTGTTATGTTTGCCAACTTTCACAAAATGTGATTTGATTTTTGGAAAGAAGATCATTCTGGTTCTAACATGAGCACATCTTGTTAGGAGGTTAACGGACACAACAAACCACAAACCTTGAACGGAGTCAAACTTCTCCTGGAGAAACGGTTTGTCTTTCTGAGTCTTTATGTGCTCCCGTGCATCCTCTACAGAAATCCGTTCTACATTAAAAAAAAAATACATAAAAACATTACCAAAAACCCTGAAATCACAGATTAACTCAGTGTCGGTTAAAAAAAAGTCAAATCTTTCCACCTGTCAGTAAAGTTTGTGGTAAATTTAATCGTTCTGCACCAAACGTCCAACCTGAAGCGGTCAGGCTTCACATATGCTGATGATGTCTATGTATTCATCATAAAGCTAATGCGTTGTATTATCTGGTTTTATAATGATCAAGTCTCAACGTACCACTCTGCTGAAGTACGTTTGATTTATTGACCTCTGCAGCCTCTTTACCACTCTGCTCCACATCAGGCTCCAGTTCATCTGCAACAAAACAAAAAGTTTAGAGAACTTGTTTTTAGCGACCTGACAGATGAGTGTCATGAAGGAAACTCACCTTCAATCTCCACCTCCTCCAGAGAGTTCCCTTCAGATCTTTCCAAAGAACCCCTCTCCATCGCCACAAGCAGCTTAGCGATCTTTGCGAGTTCAACCACCGCCTGCGGTAATCGGTAATACTCCCGGTCGGCGCGGATGTTGTGGCCGAGCAGCTTGGCCAGGTGCTCGAGCTCGTCATTCTCCAGGTTGAGAATCTGGAAGATTCTTGCGATGTACTTGAGATGATGTTCCAGCCTGAGATGCTCAGGGTTCTTTGCGTTACACAAACCTGAAAACGACTTGATGCAGTGGCCTCCGTGGAAGTGGCTGGTAGGAGAGGAATTCGGCTTTGCAAACAAGAAAGGGTTGTCCTTGTGCACGCCACAGGCTAGCCTCTTGCTAATCAGCAGCGTTAACGCACTGACGAGTTGAGAGGTCAACAGAACAGAAACATTTTGTCTGCTTTTGCTCAGAATATTAATCTTGATAAAGTGTTTGGATAAGATTTGGGTGGAGCTGTCCCTCTCTTGAAAAGCCTTCAGGGTCATATTAGAAACATCTGCAGTACATTTGCTAAAAACGGACGTCTGCGTGATCGTCACCCTGGAGAGAGCCGTGTAGACCTGCGAGTTTTCACTCGTCTTCAGGCTCTCGGTGGCAGAAGCCGATAACGCCTCCAGGTATTTGTAGAACGTCTGTGCATCCTGCGTGAATGGTATCGTAGACGGGCTGCTCACATTCTGTCCACCTGACGGCACGTCGGCCGTTTCAGAGACGTGTCCACTCCACTCTTTGTCACAGTTTTCTATGAACGTTCTTGCATGGCTCTTCATCGCTTCACTGCTTTCACTGTCGATGAGGACCATGTTGCCAATTCTTTTCAGCAAATTACCCAATCTGAGTTTAAGGCCTTGGTGTAGGTACACCTGTTGTAGTTTATTAAAACCCACAATGTGTTTCACGCAGCTGACGACCTTTTGGAAGTTATTGGGTTTGATAGCATCTTCAAAGCTAAAAACCATCTTCTTATGCAGTTTTAACAAAAACCTCCCCATGTCCCTCAGCTTCTGCTGGACGCTCTCCTGCTTGTTTGGATTATTTTCATACTTCTGGATCAAATGTTTCGCCATCTGCACCAGAACGTAATCATTTTGAATCACAAGTGGAATCCCGTCTTGACGCATGGAGGAAAGCATCTTCTTCACATCCAGAGGAACTTCATGATCAACACCATCTAAGCCGTTCCCAGACGTTGAAGGCTCGGATTGTTTCTTGGTGCAGGTGCGAATGTGCCTCCACAGATCCAAACATTTGTAAAAGCCTTTACAGTACGGGCAGGACTTGTATATTGAGGAGTCAACGTTTGTTTCTGTTCGTCTTTTTACTTTCAACGCTCCGACGTTGGTCTTCAGCACCTGCTTGTTGTGTTGGTAATTACCTTTGTTCCTGAATATGCCAAAAAGCCTTTTGCGTTCAGCAGATTGTTCAGGAAAAGAAAGGGCCTCAGCGATGACGGGCTCTTCGTCTGCATGCTTTTTGAGATGACGAGCGATTTTAATCATTCCTTTCCCACAAACGTAACAATAGTTTAGTTTGGTGAAAGACGACTCTTCGTTGGAAGACACTCTCTTGCGCTTTAACCCGCCGGTTTTATTTGAGTCACGTTTATCTGGAAACGCTTCCTCCGACGGCCGAACAAACGTTTTTGTCTTCTCTCGAGAAGAACACGGCTCTGTAATCTGCGAACGGTTCCGAAAACGACCACGACTCGGTTCTTCACCGTCAGAGCACGACTGGTCACAGTAAGAATCTGCAGCAGTTTTCATCTGAAAACAAGAGACACAAATAATTAAATTAAAAAAATAAAGAACGTTTTAGAGTCTTACATTCTAGAAGAACAAGATCTTTACCAGGTTGATTCAAAACTAACCTTAAGTGGACAAAAACAACAGATTCCATTATTTATTGAACAAAGCGTTAAAGCTGAGAGTGAAAGGTCTCCAGACGGTCCAGAAGAAGCAGAACCTCCTTCAGCTGTAAGACCTCAGTGGTTTTCTGTTCCAGTCTCTCTCGTGGTTTTGGAGTTTTGACCCACTCTTCTTTACAACGTTGCTTTAGTTCATGGAGGTTTCTGCTCAGCTCTCTGATGGCCACAGCATTTCAGTCAGGCTGAGGTTCTGGACACTGACTGGACCGTTGCAGCACCCTGGTTCTGTTCTTTCTGACCCGTTCTGTTGTAGACCAGCTGCTGTGTTCTGGATCATGATCCAGATGGACCCAGTTTGGTCCAAGCTTCAGCTGTTGGACAGATGGGCTCACATCGGACTCCAGAACCCTTTCGGTCTACAGGAGTTCTGGTCCACTCACTGACTGACAGGAGCCCGAACCATCAGACCTCCACCACCGTGCTGACAGCTGGGCGGAGCCGTTTGCTGCAGTGCATTCTGGGTAAACATCTGTCCTCTGGCCTGGTTTTCATTCAGATGAAACTTTCCAAACCTGCGTTGTTTTTTAGAGAGGATGCCATGACCCTTGACCCGCTAAGTGAGGCGGAGCTCGTTCCTCTGAGCACTGCACGGTCTGACCTTCAGGGTGAATTTGCTGCCACTCCTGTAAACATTATCAGAAGTCTTAAATGTTTTCTACGTGTGAATGATCCTTCTCTCTGTTGAGCGATGAACTCCAAATGACCTTTGACCCTTCCCAGATTGATGGACAACAACTTTTCTAAAATCATTGCTGATGTCTTTCTGCCTTGGTGTTGATAAAACATCTTTTTGCTCCAGAGCAGCAAAACCTCCTAATGATGATCAGTTAACCAGCAGCTCCTAGCTGACCCTGAACCTCTGAGATCCTGTGGAGCAGGACCAGGACCAGCAGCGAGGCTGGAACCAGTACCGGTGACTCGATAGAATCAGTTCACTTGAGCTTAGACTTGAATCAATTTGGAACCTGGTAAAGAGGTTAAAAAAAAAACTGCAACTGAACGAAGATGTGGTTTATTTTCTCCATGAATGCATTTTTTTTTTCTGTTTGGGAAAATAAACACGCTGAAAAAGAAAAACGTATAATTGTATAACCGACCATAAAACCTCAGCTGTGCATCGGGTGCTGATCGAGACCGTTAAAGTTTACAATGACGCTCACAAACCTTTTTTCTTTTCCTCGGCGTTGATGTCAGCGGTTTAGAGCTCGCCTTTGAAGAGGTTGATCCAAAGTGAAACTCCCGTGACTGCTGTACGGGGGAGAAACACACGTTCAACGTTTCATATAAACTGTCATTATAACACATAAAAACAAGCAGCTCGATTAACATTTTAATTAAAATCAAAGTTCTTGTTTACATCAGAGCGCCACGGGTAACTGGAATCTCCGTAGTTGAACGTTATCTCCTCGCCGGGGGAGATTTTCTTCGATGCAAACAGGCACAAGTGAGGCCTCCCCTCATAAACAACCTTCCTCATCTCACAGTTTGGACGGAGGTGGTCATCGTTCACCAATCTGCCGAGGGAGTTGTCCTCGTTTGAAGCATCAACGCTGCAGGAGAAACGTCACAACGTAAGTGCACGTTCCTACAGCCGGTTTGACGAGTCAAAATAAAAAAGGGTCTTAGTTCATAAAAATTAGAAAAACGTACCACCATCGTTCTCCTTTCCACGAAAACTTGTAAATAAAACCTTTTAAAACAGCTCCACGCCTCGTAGAGCTCGGTCCTCGTGAAAAGATGTTCCCTCGATATTCAACAACAAACGTAGACGGTTCAATGGTTTCATTCGTGCACAAGCCTCTTCCTAGTGAAGGAGGAACAAAAACTTTAAATATCCGGTAAACAGCTGATTGATTGATCAGTTATTTTTAGCTGATGCTAATCTGAACGTCCACAAAAATGATAAACTCAAGCTGTACCGTATTTTCCACATTACAAGTCACTTTTTTTGACGCCCTGCGACTGACAGGCCAAAGCACCATATTTATGGATTTCTCCCATATTTAGAAACCTTTTTTTTTTTAGCTGAGATCAGACCGTTTTCATTCATTCTGACTGAAAAAAACTGAGCAGTACCACTTTCAGCCACTTGGTGGCAGCAGAGTAATAATTTATGGCATACCATTGTATCATGTAATAAGTAAATGTGGCTATAATGACAAATCCAAACAAGTTCAAGACAAAAACAACTGGACGTTATCTATTATATACTTAGTTGTTTTTTTTCTTGAACTTTTTTGAATGTACTGGATCCTGGATGACTGAGAATCTTCACCAGCTATTAATGACACAATCGGCCTGCCATAGGTGCCACCTTCATTCTGCTCGCTGATCGGACCGACAGTCAAATCAGCTGCACCGCCGCGGCGAAATTCAGCTGATTTGACCATTAAAGTGCATTTATTAAGCAGATGTTAGACTGACACACCTTTGCTATAATTTAGAGCAAACAAATACTTGTTTAGGTGCTTTTCTTGTTAAATTTCGAAGAAACGAGCCGCGTTCCTCCTCCTTTTTTCCGCCCTCTGCGCGTTCATGGAGCACCGAGGCTGCAAAACTATTATTCAAATTCAGCTGATTTGACCATTAAAGTGCATTTATTAAGCAAATATTAGACTGAGACACACATTTACTATAATTTTGAGCAAACAATTGTTTTTAAGCGTTCATCTTGTTAAATTTGCACAGCGACTCGTCGCGTGCACGTGTTTCCTTCCACATATCGGCTTTTGAAATACAACCAGTTTGACCATCAACGTGCATTTATTAAAGAAAAGTTAGACCGAGACACAACTTTCCTATAATTTCACGCAGCAAATAATTGTTTTTAAGTGCTAATCTTCTTGTTAAAGTCCTCCCGTGCACGCTCTCGTGGCCACCATTTGGCTGCCAATTGATTTCTGGCACAACACCGGCCACATTTCCGGGTTGTCAGCGGTGACGCGTAATAGATGTGACGTTTGCAGCGAAGCGACATATTTATGTATTTTTCCACTTTATTAGACAAATCTGGACTGATGGGACTTATAGGAGGAGCAACGTGTACGGCAGAAAATACGGTACTTAATAAACAAATCAGTCTCACGTCCCATCCTGCTAGAATTGACTAAATGCAGGTATTTATTGCCCGAGATCAAATCCAAACTATGTTTGTGTCATTCTGCGATAAATAAATCTAAATAAAATTGACGTTTGTGTCCTGAATAGCTCGTGCTGCTCAGAAACACAGAAATTACACAATGAGGTAAAAAACTGTGCAGACACTTTAAAAACAAGAACATTTGATGAATTCTGGCATGCGGTGTGAATTTAAGTTTCTGATCCAGTAGAAGTGGAGACAGAATCAGTGCACACAGAATCTGAAACCACTGACCGAGGTTACGTTCACAGAACAGCTACATTTACTGAGGCAAAACGTATCACTCATGTCTTATACATTTAACTGCAGCCGTGTTCCAACACAACACTTTCTTGTATCGTGGTAACAAATGAAAAATATATATTTAATTACAACAAGCTTTACAAGAAAGGCAACTCTTACGTTTAGAGGCGTCTATAAATCTTTCTGCCAGGAAGAGTTTGTCTCTGCGAGCAGCAATGTGCTTCAGGGCATCTTCCCGAGGACTCAGATCCATTTCCTGTTCACTCATGGCTGCAGGAACCCAAATTAAAACCTGTGATTTGTAAACCAGCAGAGCACACACAATCACAAATCTCACTCATAACCAGAGAATCAGACACGCAGACAAAACCTTAAAGTATTTAGAAAACTTTCATATCATTTTAAGATGCCCTGACGCTGCTCAGTAATCCAGGTAGAAGAATCTAACCAGGCTGAGCCAGGTCCTCTGGACGGTTTCCTTTTGTTGAGACGTTTCGTCCTTTATCCAAAGACTCGGTCAGTCTGAGACCTGCAGCGTCTTACAAACACCTCGTCACAGTGGATCAACCAGTTTGTTGCAGACAGCCAGAACCAGCTGTTCACGTTAAAAGGAGGACCATCAGCCTGACAATGGCTCGTTCGAGCCCTAACAAATAGTTGTCGGTGCCTGATGGCTGCTTGTTATTGTTGTGAGAAAAAAAACAACTGTAACGCCACTTTGATTGGTGATATGTGCTGCTGATTATCCATGCTGCTGATCTCATGCTGCTGACTATCCATACTGCTGATTTCATGCTGCTGACTATCCATACTGCTGATTTCATGCTG